AGTGACATTCCTCTGCTATTCTTCGGAATGAACAGCCGGTCATACCTCAACAAAACGGCAATGAATAGCATGGTGTCTAGGAAGCATTTGTGACTGTTAAAGACAGCCCCCGCGATCAAAGTGGCTCGTGGTCGCCTTTGCTGTGCAAGTAGTCTAGCCTCCAAGCTAGAAGACTGTTCACCTTTCGCGACTCTTGTGAGCGTGGAGGCTGCTATAGCCGCTCAAAGTGCTAGTTCTAACTCCTCCTCAGTCGGGCCGCCTTTTACTTGCTAGATGTCCTCCGACGGAGGCCACTCACTTGTTCTTAGTTGGGGCGGCGGGCATTGCTAATGCCCCTGGATAATTCTGCTCTCCTTCATTACAGTTTACTCACTGGAGGTATATACATTCAATTCAACCCATTTCGCGAGGTGAAACGCGTAAAAACACGAGTGACGCAATTTTCGTGATGCAAAACCACGACGCACAAAAGGTGCGCTACCGTAATCACAAATTCAGACACCGTGTTGATAAAATTCCTTTTTCCTTCCCAGAGTTTTTCCTCTGCGTTTTTGTTGTTTTCTTTTTGTATTCTTTTTTGCACTGGATGATATCAACTACTGCGAGATGTGATAGAGAGATTTGTGAGCTAGGGGTTTGCACAGAGACCGCAGGGAGGTGTGGCTGTCAGGGAGCAATTTTGTTTATGGTGTTCTTGAGGACTCTTCCTATTTTTTCTTCTTTGGGGGAATTACTTATCAGCTACTGTTTCATAATTGAAAAGCAACTATCTATGACACTTTTGCGGCAGCTGTCATTTTAAAGACAGCTCCCGCGATAAAAGTGGCAAGAATAATTGCTGATCAATTATGAAACAGTAGCTGATAAGTAATTCCTCAATGAGGGGAAAAAAGCAACAAGAGCCCTCAAGAACACCACAAACGAAATTGCTCCCTTACAGTTACACCGCCCTGCGAGTCCGTGTGCAACCCCTGGCTCGAAGAAATCTCTTCCTATCACATCTCTCAGTAGTTTGCGATATAGTCCAATGGCAATTTTTGAAAAGAATGCGAAAAACAATAAAACTCGGGAAGAAAAACTCTGAAAAGATAAAGGGAAATTTATCTTTTTGGTCAATACACGTGTGATTTAGATTTGATGCGCAGTTCTAACAGTGGTTTTCGATATTTTAGATGAAGTGAATTTACAGTAGCGCAGCGGCTTTTATGCGTCTCTATGATTGCTTTCGCGAGATCTTTTTGTTGAACTCTATCATATAAAGTGACATCTAGTCGTGATTTTCTATTGCCGTACGTGTTTACCTTAACGTACGGATAAGCATGCTCACTTGACTGCTAATGCTCAGAACTGAAATTCAACTATTCCTGGCTGCCAAACTTACTAGTAGATGGTTGCTCTCTCAATTGAATGAATTTAGAGTGATATTATACGGAGAGCAGCAAGTTAATGCTAGAGGGCACCACTGCGTCGTGTGTGCTGCGAAAAAATGAATGCGGCCCAACGGAATCCCGAGTGTTGCCCGCACCTCCCAACAAAAGAGCAAACTGAGCGCGCTGCGCTCCGTCAGAGAGCAGCTAGCAAGGTGAGCAGGGGTGCCACTGAGGTAAGTGAGTTAGGAACTGGAGAGTTGTGAGTCGGGCTTAGCTTCTGTCTGTTCTCTCGGCATCCATGATGTTAGTGTGACGTCTGAGCCCCTACGCGAGAGCTAAGCATGGCTTAGCGGGAAAGGCTGCATTCTGACAGCGTTTCAACCGACTCTTCGGTCTTTTGGGGGGTGAACTATGTGTTCATAGCCTGGCATGGTTCTACAAGTCTACAATACTCGCAATCGCATTTGCTTTGTTTACACACCGTTATTGTGTTTGACTATTGTCGAAGAGCTTTCCTACCTGCCTTATATTCATTAGCGAAATTTCTATCGCTTGAATCTATCGCAGCTTATTTGTGAAATCCGCTGTGCGACTTGAGGGATTCTTCAGTCACAGTCACGATCTAGGCAAACGATAGGGCCTGTGAAGGGGCCTGAACTGGAGCCGCAGCCAGAGCAGCTCTTCTCGCCAATCGTTGCTAAGTCCATATGGTCCAGGTGACATCAATTCGTACAAACGCCGCCTCGTCTCCTGCGCTCCAATCACATACCCCTATCGTTTGCAGGGTTCATGACTGTACATGCAACGAAAATAGAGAGCAGAATGCGTAATTACGCCGCCATATCGCCTACTCTTCCATCGATACCCTAGTGGCCTCTTAACAGTTTTCCAGGTTACTTTTCTCTTGCACCGAAATTCTTACCTCTCCACTTTAGTTTTGAAGCTACGGAACACCTCCATTGAGGGTCGTCTTTGGCGATGTTCAATGCTGAAAAGATGTCAACCATGACATGACGGTATAGATGCTTAGATGGCAAAAAGTTCCAAAAGGACTCACTGGCTGACGGGAACCACGCTAACCCTTCGCCGCAGTGCCTCAGTATTCGTGATCAACGGATCGCGATCATCGAAATGTGGTACCATTCTGATCTCATGAACGTGTTCAGGGAGTCTAAAAATGTCATTGGAAAGCACACGCGGAGAAGTGTTACTCGAATTCAGGCTGTAGCTCACCTCACTTCACTGACAGAACCTTTGAGTGGGTTATTCGGAATCCTAGCCGACTGCTCAGAGTATAGCGGTTCAACTTCATCATCCCAGAATGGATCCTTTTTGAGGTCCGGTGGACGATCATAGCCTTGGTCCACCATCATTAACACCATCTGAACATATGTACTGTGGGGATAGTGAACAAAACATAGAGCTTCGTCGAGATATCAGTTTTAAAGAGAAGTCTACAAATGGCAGTGTTGCTGCGAAAATGAAGGGAGTTGAATGTGATCTACTTTTCACACAGATTACGCACAACGACTTCTGACGTTCTTGACTTCTAATGTTTTTCAAAAGCTTGTGTTTAGCATTTCAGT